TAATCTCTGGTGTTACTTGGAACAGTTGTAGATAAAATATATCTAGACAATGGCATGATGTTTAAGTTGGTGTCCCTTTAAGCTTTTTAATTATTTATGGTGTATTATAAACAACACAGTAGTTTAGAGCAATGTTTCTCAATCTTTTTTGATGCCAGGGACTGGCTTGCTGCCTTCCTAAACTTTGTCAGGGAGATCTCAGGGACTGGCACTGGTCCATGGACCGGATATTGAGAAATATGTGCTTTAGAGCACAGAGGAGATGCACTCCATGCCCACAGAAGCTTACAATCTAACCCTGAAACCATTTTGTTCAAGGCTATTATTTACTTCCTGTTATTTAATTTCTTAGCATCATTTTTTAATACTTGAATCAGCTGTGGCAGGTTTCATTTAAAAAAGGAAGCCTCTTAGCGGTTTCAGGGACCACACAGTATCCTGTCAGAGATCACAACCTGAGTGCAGCTAAAGCGCCCTCTCAGAAGCAACATTGTATGGGGGAAACTCCAAAGACTGACATAACCAAGTCCTGACAGTGTGAAAGTGAATGAGCTATACTTCCACCATTAAGCAGGGGCTTCCGTGCATGAAATAATGTTCTCGGTGAACAACAGTGGCAGCTCTTTGACGTCGTTAAGAATCTGAGATGGAGTTAAAAATCTTTCCTCTGCAGCTCCCCATACTTTGTTTTCAAGTGGCTGTTTTGTAATCCAGCACTTGAATAATTTTTTCCAGTGTCAGTGTTTTTCTTCAGCAAGTCAATATGTGGCAGCTTTGGCATTGTCTGTATAATTCAGTACTGAAAGGAAATAGCTTGAAAACAGAGATCTGGCCCCTAAGCCTCTACAGTCCACCCAGCCACAAGTCACAGAAGCTATCAGTTACACAGATCAAAATTATCTCCCATAGCGTGGATGACTAGATTTCCCACACAGAGCTAAGGCATATGAACAGAGCTCTAACAGCTGGCACCCAGGGCAAATACTAACATTTTCAGAGCTTATTTTGTGGGTTAACTCCCTCAAAGGACTCAAATCTCAAAATCAGAAATTCTCTGCTAGGCGGCACCATGCTGGAATCATTGTATATTGACATCCGGATCCTCAGAGAAGAAATCTGTCAGAAGGTGTTTGGCTTCCAGTAGGTTTTTCAAAATATATCCTTAATCCTAGGAGATAGTCTACAGAGAGGGTTATTTCCATTAGTAATCTGTGTACTTTCATTCAAACTTCTGTCTCTCTCTCACACATGCTCACACAATTTCAAAAGAAAATTAGACCAAGAGTCTGCCAAGCTCAGCCTCCCACCTGGGAGTCCCTGCTCCAAATCAGGCAGAGCAGGGATTTGAATTTGTGACTCCCCTCTTCTAGGTGAATGCCCTAATCCCCAGACTATTGGGTATTCTGGGGTCATGCTTGCTTGTTTTTTGGTGAGATTTCTCATCTAGATTTAGTCTGCCAGAGCACAAGTCTGACTGCTTAGGTGCCAAACTGTAGGAGAAGGTATGTGGCCTCTTTCCTCTACATTTCACTCCTGGCTAATTTAAGCAGTTCCCTGCTCAACTTGCTGGCTTCCGAGAATCCCTTTCTTAGCTGCCTATCTCTCACCATGCATTGTACAAGAAGTCTGGATGCCAATCTTGGAGGCAGGATGCCTAGGGATTGGGTGTTGCATTGCTGAGTGTTACAATGCCTAAGTACCTTCATGGATTTAGCCCTTGGTACTTAACAGCAAGTAGGGCAATCGGAGTTGCACATGAGCAGGTGCTAAGTGAACAGATATGTGTATGTGTTTCTATCTTTGCCTGAGCAATGAAGAGCACTGACTAGTAGAACGTTAAACTAAGAAATTCTGGCTTGGGTATATATCACATCTCTGCTAGCATCATATTTCTTTTCTGCTCCTTCCAGTATGTGTTCAATAAAGTCATTATTGTGGCTTGGCAACCAACTTTTCTGCAGGATAAAATGAGTTAATAGCCACATTTCAAGTCAGTTTTATGAAAGTGGGATAGAATGTGCAGGGTGCCTGCTGTTCAGCCAATGCAGCTACAGGGCTATTAATATTTTTTAGACAATAACTGTAAATAGATTATGACAGAATGACCTCAAACTATATCATTATGGGGCAAGAATAGTGGGGAAATGAGAGAATGAAGCCAAGCAGCAATTTTTCTGAAAAGTTTTCAAACTAGATAATGTCTCCATTTTTGAAAATTACAGCAGTCCCATGAAGATAAAGCCAGTGGTGTCTAAGGCATTGCAGTGTAGTCATGTAATGATCATACTTGTTTAGTCTGTAAATTAGCTACAAAAATACAGCAAGGTCCAATTTTTTAAAGGTATTTTGGAAAAGCAGCAGCTATTTGAATTTATAAAGAGGAACTACTGGGTTCATCCCTTAACTACTTTTCACCTTAAATGTCATAATGAGTTAAGGAAATACAATTTATATTTATAGTGCTTGTCAACACAATAGAGTCTAAAATGATTCACAAGTAAACTGATATATAAACTATTAAAGACAAAAAGCTACATTAAAGGTAGCAAAATCAAGCACTGAAAGTTAGGAAGTGCCAGAGTTGAGGATACCTGTGCACCCTTAATTTGGCCCCCTTGTGCTTATGCATTATGATATAGTCTTTAATTACATGATTACACACTATTTTTTCCCACAGGACCCTCTGCCTAATTCAGAGCACAGGATGGACAATACTGACAATGAGCAGCTAGTCAATATTTTATTTTCTCCTCATTGTTCAGTGTGTGGCTGTAAGCTTTATTTACTGTACACTATTCAAACCTTGCTCTGGAGACATAATTATTAGTTTCCTCATAGGCTTTTCTATGGTGCTTAGCACTAAAGTAGCTGAGTGCTTCACAGATGTTTTTTAAATTCATTTTCACAACACCGCTGTGAGGTGAAGGAGTATTATATCCCAATTTTGCAAATTGGAAACTGAGCTACAAAGATTAAGGTCAAAAGTATCCACTGATTTTGGGTGCTGAATTTGGTACACCTAGGGCCTGATTTTTTTTTATAAGTAACATTATATAGCACTTCATATATTCAAAGCACAGTTCCCACTCCCCTTAGTTTCAGCTGCAAGTCAGAGGCCAGTGCCTCAAGTCAAGCACCTTGAAAATGAGGATTATACAATTAATGACCACCTGTGGAAAGTTTGGTGTAAGTAGCCTGCCTAGCTTCACATAGGAAATTCCATGGCAGAGGCAGGGGTAGAATCCAGTTCTTCAGAGTAGCATTCAATTGTCTCCAGTTTGCTTACCCAGCAAGTTCTAGTCATGCCTTTCTGAACTCCCTGTCCTACTCCCAGGTAGGTAGAAAAAAGCAGCACTTCCTTTCAAAACAAGCCCAACCCATTTCAGAGAGAGGGGAGTGGGGGCAGTGCTTAATTTGTAACAAAAGAGGTGCTGGGACTCAGCCCTGGCAAGCCCCAGCACAAATTAAGCCCTGTTACTCAATTTAAGTTCAGTGCTGTGGTGGAGTCCTACACTTACAAAATGGGTTGTGGGATCTTAATAGCCACAAGTGGTCAAGGCCCTGGTTTTAAGCCTCTTCCACTAGAAGGCACGCCTCCACGAGCATGCTGGGACTGATTGAAAGGAAATAGCACCACCAAATGAATCACAAACACCGCTTCCTACAGCACTTCAATGTTCCTTGGAGATCTCCCCTCCAAGAACTCAGACCAACTGGGCATGGCTTGTGAGTTCTGAATGGGTCACAGCAAAACACAAGTCAAAACAGGGTTCCATCTACCACAGCCAAAGAGCTGCATACCAAGCACTCCCCAAATGGTCAGCTTGTGTGCATTTCAGCTGTACACTTCTGTTCTGTCATAGCCGTGTAACAGAAATTTACATAAAAGTTAAATCACAAAAATTGAGACAATATTATCTGACTGACATTAAGCCCACAAACAAGAAAATGCATACGCATATGAAACACTACGTTTCACTCATCTCATTTTCCCCTATAATAAGCATTGCAGTAGCATTGTCATGCCTCATAAGCTGCAATATCTAGGCAAAAACAGGAGGTAAAAGGACACTGAGCCCCACTCCCCCAGCATCTGGACCCCCATACCCTGAAACACCCAGATCCCCCACCGAGTTCTGTCCACACCCAGACACCCACCCCACTGAGTTCCAACCACTTTCACCTGGATCCCCCTGCAGAGTCCCATTACCGTTGCACCCAGAACCCCACCAACAAATCCCTGTGTATCCAGATTGCCCCACACGGAACCCTCTCAACCCACACCTGGATCCTCCCACACTAAGCCCCTCCACACTTGGATCCTGACAGGCTGAGCCTGCCTGCCCAAATCTGGTGAACCTGGCACAGAGGGGCAGGGCCCTGGGGTGTTTCTGGGGCAGGCCCAGTCCTTGCACCATGTCAGGGTTGGGTGCAGCCTCACCGCTGAGTTTGTGTCCTGGGGGGGGAGTTGCAGTGTGATCTCCCACCTCTGTTCAGCCAGTGGCCTGTGCTCCCTAATGCCATGCTGGAGCCTACACATTTATTTGACAAATAAAATTCGCAGAATCTTTAACTATTGTGCACAGAATTCTTAATTTTAAGTTAAAGAAAATTATGGTCCGATATCTTTGCATATCAATGTGTGTTTCTCACCCCTCTAACTTTGAGACATGTGGAGGATTTGTAAAGGAATAATAAAATATAGCAGTTTAATGACCACATTAGTACCCTCATTAGAAGCCTCAAACTACAAAGCATTTAAAACAGGGAGTTGAGAGCGTGGGGAGTTGGGGAGGGGAAGCTATGAACAAGCAATTATGAAACTTCAAAAACTGGTTCAATTATCCACAGGAGGTGCTGGGATTGCTAAACAAAAACAGCCATACTCAAGAGTAATTAAGTAAAATTGAATGAAATTGAAAAGCATGGCACGTCAGATGGTTATCAACAGCAATTGCAAAGTCTGTCTTTTTCATAAAGTAATTAGCTTTTTGTTTCAGATTGATGTCCTCAAGGCAGATATGGAAAGTGCTGAGTGGAAAATTTTGGAAAACCTGATTCTGGAAGACATTGTTGAACAGATAGGACAACTGGTCTTTGAAGTCCACATTCATTGGCCTGGATTTGAGGTCAGTGGCAATGACAGCATGGTGGTCCGATACTGGTACAGTCTTCTCAAAGAATTAGAACTGAAGGATTTCAGGCTTTTTCACACTTACAAAGACTTATTGAAACCACAGATATTTCTGAAAAAGGAAGCCTTCAATGCAAGTAGCTGTTACACACTAAGCTGGGTGAACACAAGATGGAAATAGAATAAAGGAATTGATGACATGTAATCATCCCACTGAACCGTATTAGTGAAAAGGACATTGGAGCAGCTGACAAAAGTTACTGAACTTGCAAACCGAGGCCCTGTTATCAAAATGTTTCTAAGCAATATCTCAAAAGCTGAATGTTATCATGCATTGTTTCGGAAAACTAAAAAGAGATCTGGCATTGAAATTGTTTTGTACATGCATCTTCCATAAGTTACGTAGATAGACTTTATTAGAAACAGATGAGAGATATTTTCTAAGTGTTCGTCTAAAGTGGCTAACAGTTCTCCACACATGGCTGTGGATTGACCCCAGCCTTCCTAAAGGTCAGCAGAGAGCATTCCCCTACTCTGGCCCTGAAAATTCACTGGGAGCAGCTCTAGTACAGTGAACACCAAGAGATGCTGCTGAAAAAAATCACTGATCCAAATAAGTTACTTTCTCAGGGATGGCCAAGTGATACATTTTCCTTAAATGATTGTGCTTAGACTAGCACCTTTTATTACTTTAAAAACAAACACTCCCATGACAGTTGTGGCAGATTGTTCTCTTCCAACCAACAATTACTTAAAAGGGACAGTCAATGGGAAATCTAGTCAATTTTTAAAAAGGTGTAATGTATTGTCAGATACTACACCTGCCCCTGGTATATGCATGCCAGCACCTCCTCCACAGGCATTCTTCACTCAAATCAGTCCCCCTTCCAATGGCTAACAAGCTCAAATCACTCAACTGGCCCCTCCAGATTTCCCTCAGAAGCCCAACTGGCAGGCTCAATAGGCCCAAGCAATATATTTTAAACTTCCCAGAGAAGTCATTTCCCCCTCACTTTACCAGAAACATAGTGAAGGAGTGCATGGTTTATGTGAACATTTCAAAAACTCTAGCCCATCCAATACTACCCATCTGAGAGGGGTTAAGAGAGAATTTAGTATTTTTATGTAATGTATTGCCATTAAACTTTGTATTAAATAAAAGACACACAGTCTCCCTTGCTTTGGTACTTCCCCTTCCTTTTCCATTCTTTAACTTCCTTTACTTTCCCATCTGCTCTGAGCCTTGGTGTTTCTCCCCTGCCACTCAGTTTTCAGTCTATCCTCAATTCATTTTACTATGTTTAATAAGATGCTCCTCAATCATTCTTTTCCTGTTTTGCTCCTTTAAAGCCCCTCATTCCTTTGTTCACACCTATCATCACAAACTCCCTGCTGTGCTGCTACACCGCACACACCATCATGCTATATAGACCTGCCTTCCGAGGCTGGCAAACAGAGGAAGTTATGTACCATTTTCCTAACACTTGTGTACCATACTAAATGGGTGCCCTGCTACACAATTTCCCCAGATCCATTAACTAATGCCACACAAATACATCAGTCAGTTCTTCTCCTCCCCTGTCCCTCCAGGCTCCTCCTACAAGCAGCATCTTCTCCAGTCAACTGTCTTCCCCCTGTAAGATGGTAGCAGCAGCCGGGTCAGCCCTCTCCTCCTCTTCGCTCTTTCCTTCCCCTGCTGCTTAGTACTGCCTCCCTTGGCTCCTCCCCCAGCGATCTCCAAGCCACCCATTTAGAACCTAGGAATTACCATGGTGGAGCAGACTAGTGATCCATCTACTCTTTAGCACAAGCCAGTACTAGATGCTTCAGTGGAAGAGGCAAAATATCCTGAAATTGACAATTATGGAATAACCTGCCTCTTCCACCAAGGAATTTTCTTCCTACTCCCTTCCGTGAGAGGCTGCTTTATGTCCTGATGCAATGGGGTTTCTCTCACTTCTAAACATTTAAAACAGGTAAAAGAAGTCCTTGCTATTTATGTGGCTAATGTCCAATTCTTTTTTGACTCCTAGTAAGTTCTTGGCCTCATTGTTATCCTGTGGCAGAGAGCTCCACAAGAGGCTGGGGCTTCCAGACAGATTGATGTACAGAGGACCCAGTTTATAGATAAGCTTTCAATTTTCATTTCTGTACTAACCTGGGTCCAGGCAGCTGAACTCTGATGTCATGCTAAACAAACCGCTGTAATTATTGATTGCCTCCCAAGAACTACAACACTGAAGAAGCCCTGCAGCTAAGCACTGCACTGACTGATTCACATCATCTACCTGTAGTTACAGATTCCATGGAGGGAGCTTTTCATGGGGTCAATCTACACCAATGAAGTAAATTAGCGTTCTGCTCAAGAAGCTATGATCCAATGGAATGATCTTTGAATGAAAGTGGAGAGGGAATTCCTTCTTTACTACAAGCACGTTGGATGCAAACTCTTATGTAGTGAACAGTAATATTCTTTAGGGGACACAGAGCCATAAGAGTTTGTATAAAAATGCCTAAAGTCGTCAGACTTCCTCAGCTGTTACATGGATCTGACTTAAAAGTGATCACTAACAACCCCGAGAATGTGAGTCATCATTTTTCAGAAGTCAGATTGGGATAGTATCAATCTGGGTGTGATTAACAACTTGGTTTTAGAAATAGTGCCACATCATCTTTTCCCGTGGGACAGTCTTCTAATAACTAAACTGGTAATCTATAACAACTCGCTACAGATTAGTAGTGTAAGAAAGCACAAGTTAGAGGCTCCAAACATGGATTATGTAAACTTTTCCCAAGAAATTAAAGGAGACACACAAGTTTATTATAGTTTATTGCTCTGAAACAATGTAGGAGTGTAATGATGGAAATGGACTGAAGTTCCATCATGCATCTCTTGACGTTACAGCAGACTTGTAACTTTAGAATACCCAGAGCTTTATTTATTCCCAAATAAAATCAGGAGGGAGCAGGGTGGGAACAAACGTTTCTGGTTCTCAAAAAGAAAAGGAGTACTTGTGGCACCTTAGAGACTAACCAATTTATTTGAGCATGAGCTTTCGTGAGCCACAGCTGAAAGCTCATGCTCAAATAAATTGGTTAGTCTCTAAGGTGCCACAAGTACTCCTTTTCTTTTTGCGAATACAGACTAACACGGCTGTTCCTCTGAAACCTGTTTCTGGTTCTGTACCTCCTCCAGGAAAATATTGGAGTAGCTACAGGAGTTCTTTAACATTTGCAGTCTTAGATTAGACAGGACACTCTTTAGCGGAGTGCAGGTTGTTCTACTATTTTGGGAAAAAATGAGCAATTCTAGTTTTCCTTACACACTATCCAGACCTTCAGCTTTAGAGTCTCTGATTCTGGCTGTAACAGGTAGGTGTCACGATTTTGGGACTTACTTTTGGTCCCATCCCCCCATGTTTGTTAGTCTTTTCTCATTTAAAGGGCCAAATCTCAGTTTGAAGTAGGGGATGAAATTTACCAAGTCTTTCCATCTTCCCAGTATGCTAATGAATACTAACAAAGTTTAATTTAAAAATGTTTCTCCATCACATATCAAACAGTAACATGGGACAAGTAATGCCACATATGATGCACAAGGCACTTCTTCACCTGAATCTGCCATTGGAATCTGAGAAGATGACTGTACAATAGAGCAGAACCTGTTACTTCTAGAAAACATCCATCCTGCTTTCCTACTTGTTCCTTTGCTGAAAAAGAAGGGCCTGAATTATTTGTCTGCTTTATATGTACAAAAAGACAAAGTGGATCACACTGATAATCTTTCAATAGCAAAGGAACTCATTCAAAAGTGTAATTCAAGGCTTGCTGCTTTTGGAAATGGAGAGCTAGAATGTCAGATCATTAATATCATACCACTTAACGGCACATTTGCTTTGCATTAGTAACTGTACTGATATAATTGATTAATTCCAGCCTGAGTGACTGACTATATTTTAATTTACAGTTGATTTAAAAGCAGTCAATCCTACATACAGCTGGTGCCCTGTAGAGCCGTAGAGTGTAACACTGGCCACCACTATGCCAAACAATCTCACTTTTCAGGCACCCTCGCTATGGGCATGCTGGACACAGGACGGCTGGTCATTATAGCAAACAGCAGTCCCGTGCTGAGGCATGTTGAAAGGAACTGTTCCATTTTTAGAACACAGAATTGTTTTATTTACAGGTTTTTCAACCTGATCAGGAAAGACAGTAGCAACTCTGGTGCCCTGGCCCCCTCCAAATGTAATTTGTGTTTACACCTCTGGGACCAGACTTTGATCAAGTCTGAATCACAATGTACGAGTCTATGCTAGCAGGAAAGGCATCAGTACTTGAAGGATCAAAGGACGTGCAAGAAAAACATGCTGATCCTTTGTGCTATCCTTTAGAATGATGATTCTTGGCAGATGCAAACAAGGCTGTTGCAGGAATCCCAAGGATAAAGCACGTGGAAGGAAATACTCTCAGGTGAATTATTTGAGAGTTGAGCCGAGCTGTTTTATTATCCAAATTGTTGGTTTTATTTCTCATGCTTTTTGGCTAGCATTATTAGATGCGTCTCTGCTCTAGAAAGAACTTTCTGGAATTATTTAGTAGATCACTCCTGGTCTCTTCTTCCTTGGTTACATAACATGACAGTAGTTGTAGTTTATTTAGAGCAGTTTTATTGCTGAAATTTCCAAGGGTAAAGTCACAATAAACACTGACTGAAGTTCAGACACATTTTTGCATCTCTTGCTCCTCTTGGGACCTACAGTCTTGTATGGACAATATCTAAGAAGACTTCCACTTGAACAATGCATTTTCTGAAACAAAAGTCCCTGTTGAGAGATAACTATGTTATGTCATTGTAAGATATTTCAGCTGATTCTGGAATAAGCCTTTGCAGAGATCATCCGCTCTACTTCACTTGATCTGCGAGCCAAACCACAGAGTGATCAAAGACAAGCCCACTTCACGATATGTACAGATAAGTTCTCAAGCCTGAATAAGAACTGGAATGTTTCTTCCATTTTGACTAGATTACCCAACCTAAGTAATCATATTTTCAACTGTTCCTGAAAGGAGGGTGTGTGTCAGTATGTACGAACACCCACCCTTCAGGAACAGTTGGGGAAAAAATAAGTGCCTATAGTGATGATCTCTTCCTTTGTATATTTAATATAAGATTAATTTTTGAATCAAAATAACTGGACCACAATGTAATCCAAAGGCTTTTAAATTAAACCCCCCACTTACAACAGGCCTGAAAGCACAGGCTGCATATACAATAGTAAAGCTTTAACAAAGTTTCAGCTCATGAGTGTCCATCTTTTGATCATAAAGGTCCTTTCAGAGCCCTACAACAAAAGGATTAAAGCCTTCTTCTATAACATATTAATGGAAGGTCCATTTAAGGGACAAAAGCCCAGTCTAAAAAATAGGGGTTGGAATAGCTATGCTTTGCACCTCTCTGGGAATGATGATAGCATCTAACAAGCCTCAAACTGGGTTAGTTCTCTTTTGAATATTTTTCTGGAGAGGGAGGCCTTCTTCATTATTTTCCTCCTTTGGAAGACTAATTTCAGTGAGGTAGAGTAATACAGTCTTTGAAGGAAATAATAAGGAGACCAAGCGTTCATATTAAAACCCCTTTAATCCACAGTCTAATCCGCATCACGTAGAAAAAAAATGCATAACAGGATAAAGTGCCATGACATCCCTATAAATCTCAACCTCTTGCTAAAGATAACTCCTTTGAGGGTCACAGTGTGAACTAACAGCAATGGTTACTATTCCACATTCTCTACCACCTCGCCAGAGGCTGTTTCAGAGCTAACAGGAGAGGCTGTTGTGACTTGGGTCTGCTGTGAGATCTGGAACACTAGAACCAACAGACCATTAATTACCTTTTGGACAACAGATGCAAAGCCACAAAACCCTTCTAAAATAGAGGAGCCAGCTCTGAATGAGACATGACCATACAGTCACTTCTAAAGAGCCTCAATATGCAAAAATGAAAATGCAAAAAGGAAAGCATTAGGAGTCAGGTAACTCCAAACTACTTTTTTCTTAAAAAGAGAAACAGATAAACTCTACTAACTGGAATTCTTCAATTCCCACTTTTACCTCCCACTCCCAATCCATACTTTTAACTTCAACCTTATTTAGCTTTTTGAA